TGCTCTGAGCCAACTACAAGGAAAAGGTTCTTTGCCTGCAAAAGGAACTGGAAAAGGACGAGGACAATCAGGAATTCCTCAATAAAAAACAATCAAAAGGTCCATGTAACCCTTAAACATGAGCCTCACAAGAGGAACAGAATTCCTGCCCTTCCCATTCATCCCATGGCACATCCCAGGAGGCAGCAGTGGGATGGGAGCATTTGGAAAAGGACAGACACATATAAAATCCAGCTATTTTTAACAAAATTTAAAGTCTTCCCACTGCCTCAGTTACTTTATCATGGTTGATCAGAACTATCAGCCCAGATGAGCTAAATTCAACCTTTTATATAAGTTAGAACTTCCCTCAAGATTTCACTGATAAAGGAAGAGTTTGAGCTGTTGGAACTAAGGAAAAGCAGCATTTCCCAGGGTGCCTGCACTGCTGACAGAACAGAACAACCACAAACTATTCCCTAATCAATGTCCACTCACACAAATTTTGGGATTTATTCAGCCTCTTCCCACCTGCTTTAAGAGCAGCCCCAACAAAATCCCAGGATGGCTGAGGTTGAGAAAGCTCTCCCAGCCCATCCAGTCCAAACTGTGCCCAATCCCCTCCTTGTCCCCAGCCCAGAGCCCTGAGTGCCACCTCCAGGAATTCCCTGGACACCTGCAGGGATGGGCACCCCAAACCTCCCTGGGCAGCCCCTGCCATGGCTGAATACACTCAAAGGAAAAAATAATCCCAGCCTAAAACAGTTGGATTTACCAGCTTCTCTCCTGCAGATGTGAGTGATGCAAAGACTGGGAAAAATGGTCCAGAGGTTTTCCCATTTTTGGAGTTTTATACCATCAACACCTGCATTGATTTTCTGAACTTGGGGGTTATGATGTCTTCAGCTCTTCCCTAACCCTCCCTGTCTCTGCCAGGAATTCAGGCATTAAAGGGTAGAAGAGCTGTAAAACCATCCAGGCACCGCCCCAATGCTCAGCCGGAACGGCCAAGTGACCACAAACACCAACTGACCAGGATGGTCACTCCACATAGTCCTGGTCAGTTCTAACCCACCTACTCCTGCAGCCCATGCCTGACTGCACACAGCCATGGGGTCACTGGGATGGGCTCTGCTCTGTGCTGCCTCCTCAT